ATTTGGATCATAAAACTATTTTTGGAATATCCCTCTAATAGGAAGAAATAATTGTGGTGTTCTTTGAAGTTTTTTTAATAGATTGTTCTTGGTGCCCCCCCAAATCCCAAAGAAGTAGTTGTTATTGGCATTTTTTATCATTATTTTCCTGAAATAACTGACTTCCATGTTTGCGATCCAGAATTAGGTATTTAGAAATGTTACAAAGTTCAGTTTGACTTCACACACAGATGTACATTCAGTGCTTACATTCAAAGCTCAGTTATGAGCTGCAATCCTTTGGCATTTTTTCATTGAGGTTTTTTGTATGGAAATAATCTCTTTAAAGTTGGAATCCAGACTAGTGCAGTTTCCACTGGGCAGTCATATAAACCTACTAACAATTGAAAGAAGAAAATCCATCAGATGTTGTCCTTTCTCTGCCAGTGTTGTGTAGTTTAAATCTGATTTTTATATAAGTAAATTTAACATAATGTTATTTCCTTTTAAGTAATTTCTAATAACTGAGGAATTTACATTCATAAAGACTATGGGAGGTCCTAAGTGCTACATTGACATGGTGTCCAAGTACATTTTTAGGCTTCTTAAAGGTTATATAGCGTGATGAACATCCCAGGAGAAACAGTTGTCAGTTCTAGGTGAGGAGGTGCCAAATTGAAGATCTAATTAATGTAAATACTTTTTGTTTGAAGACTTTTCTGTGTTATTTGGGGGGAAAAAATACTTGTAACACTTAGGAGAAGGACACAGACCTTTTCTTTTACAAAACTTTATATGCCATTGCTGGTTTGGGGTTTTTGGACTTCCTCTTGCCAATTTCCTTGTTCTTAAAAGGTGGGGATGTAAATACCGAGAACAGAGTCAAAATAAAATTAAGTGAAATGACACAAAAGGTTTCTCACTGTGTAGATGAGGAGTAATTAATTCTTTGTTTTTCTATCTTATTTGTAGAAGCCTTTTATTTAAACTATTGTTTTAATTATGGAACATAAATCTCTGAGTGCATTCAATGGAAATAATCTTGAAAGTATATACTCAAGTGTTGTACTTCCTCAGTGTAAGCATTTTTCAGACCTTGGCCTTAGTGCACCTATATTTGGAAAGAACATATTCTATATATATTCTTTATATTCAGTTTGGGTAGATTATATCCTGAGGCAGCCACTGGTCTTTTGTAAAGAAAAGAAATGTTTTTGAAAAGCTACCTGTGAAAAGAAGACAGCAATTCCTGCATAGTGTGCTGAGATTAGCATTACAGAATGGCATTATTTTAAAATGTCTCTAGTTTTTATAAAAGAGGAGGAAAAGAATAGGTCTGCCTTAAGTTGGTGTTGAAATTTTTCTGATTAAAACCTGCTACTGTTGTCTTTGGTGGCACTGTTTGTATGCTTGAAAAGACCCAGAGAAAGGGAGAAGCTAAACCCTTCAAACCCTATATGGTAGGTAGCTGAATTAATCCACCTGAAGTGTATTTCATGCAAAATTCATGGTTACATAGCCAAGCATTTTCACTTTATACTACACCTGAGGCACAAACAATTTGAAATGCCCTGAACTGAGTCAGGTATCTGGAATGAAACTTCTAGGGAATATATGGCAAGTTGTACTCGCCTGGTAGGGATCAGGAATGTCCAGTGTCTGGCTCAGGATGGTCACCTTGCTTTCACACATTCACCTAGAGATTTTCTCCCTTCTTCCTTCCCTCTGGGTAGCAGTTTAGGCTCAAAAACATGATTCTGGAGCTAGTTGTGTTTCTTGTGGAATTCATTAATATGTGCAAAGTACATGTATAATTTCACTATTCAAAATTGGTAGTATTTTTATTATTGTACTTGTTCTGAACAGGTGCAAATTGACAGTTCAAGGTATTCCAACAGACTTAGTAAAGCAGAGGAAACATGCCTCTCTGGTGGTTTCTGGTATTTTAAATGTCAGGGGGATAAGATTTAGAAACCTGGAAAGATAGTAGTGTGGATTCTCAGATGCCTGTCAGCTTCAGTTTTGAACGAGGTTGAAATAAATGTAAATAATATTATAAAAAATCTGTCTGAATATGGTTCTGAATGTGTTTAGAAACTAGTCTTGTCTGCATTTTGTGTTTAGCTTTTTTTTTTAATGTTGCCTTTCTTAGCAGAAAGAGGGGCAGGGCTGTTAAGAAAACTGGAGGTTGATAAAACACTGTTGGAAGAGCACTGAGAACGTGCACAATTTCTGTATTTAAGAGCTTCAGTGTGAAGCACAGAGGTCTTGATGTCTGCTGTAGGGCCATAGCTAAACGGGTATGAGAAGTAAAGCCTCAGTGCTCAGTCTGCTTCTGAAGGCTCTTTTCAGCTTGGTAAATTTTATTCTGCTTGAATTTGATTTGGAGATCTGTCTCCCATTTGTAGCGAGAATGATTTCTGCAGATTGGTATTTCAGGAATTGTGTGAAATGTACTAAAGACAGGAATGTCAGGAGGCTGGGGTGTACATGCCTGAGTGGAATACGTCACAGAGTGCACTGATGCTATTTTCTTGAAATAAAAGTCATATTTGTTACTAAAGTAAACATATTACTCAGAATCTGCCAGAAGCTTATTAGGAATGTAGGAAGTCCCCAAGCCTTTTTATTATTATTATTTTTGGTCTTGAAAGCTGAGCTTATAGCAATGGCTGTGGCACCAGAGGGAGCACAAGATTGATGGAGCTGTTTGTGCTCTTGGAAAAGCACTGCAAGACTGCCCTGGAGGAGGGCTGGGAAGGGGAGCAGACGGAAGGCTCAGTCCTGGTCCCAGGCTCACGTACTGGGCAGAGGATGTTGGTACCATGAGGGCTTGCTAACTCTGCTCTGAAAAAGAGGAATACTGGAGTGAATGTGATCAGTTGGTTCTCTTTCTATAGCTGAGCATGCTTTACTTTGCATCCAGTGCTAGAAATGCACCATCTTTCACTAATGAAGTATTTGTTGTTGGTCATGGGTAGTAATATTCATTACTTAATTCTAATTACTAATATTCCTTAATCTCTCATATTTGTGGAAAGTGAAGTGGGCTAATACTGTCATTAATTGTGTACATTTTTAATCTGAGGCTGTTTAATATTCTGAACTTAATGATTTTGGTGTTAGCTGATTTTCAGTTGAAAAAGGTAGTGGCATGCATTCCCTTCCCTGCAAAACCAAATGAATCTTGTGTCTTTTAAACTCTGATTTAGTCTATTCCTTATTCTGACAGTGTTTATGGGTATTTGTGAATGTTGCATAACGCTGCACGTGGTTTTTTCATTCCAGGCCACTTTGCAAGAGACTGGAAAGAGTCCCTGTGTGGTCCCAGAAAGCTTTTTTTTTTTTCTTTAGTTCAATAAATACAAGCAAGACTTTCACATGCAAACACTGTAGGAAGCTTGCAGAATCAGAAGGATTTCTGTGTAGTATCCTAAAGACAGGAGTTGAAAATTACTACTTTACAAATAGCTTTGCTCTCTGCTTTAGAGAGGCTGACCTGCTGCACGCTGAACTCTTTGCAGAGATTATCCCTGCTTGATCTTAGACCAGATTTCTCATATTTTATTTTTTAAGACCTTTTTTTAAATTAAGGGCTGTCATCCTATGTAAGGGAACTAATAGGTTTTGAGTAAATATTTGCTTTTATTTTTGGATTTCCTTTCTGTGCAAAAATCCATTCTTCTTTGGGGTTTTTTGTTGTGGGGTTTTTTTGGCATTGATTTCTTTCTCTTCTTAGGGCAAGATAGCGGGACAGAAATACGTGGAATCTACAATCCATTTTGTCCCATGACCTGTCCCCTCCCATGTGAAGTGATAATACATTTACTTCTGCAACACTGATGATAGTGAAATTCCTTTCTCTTGTGAAAATGGAGATCTAGTGAAACCTTTTATTTCATGGAATTAAATGATTGCTAGAAATTGCTTCTGGGTTGGTGATGATAGCACCAAGGAAGTCTAGCTGCTGTCTGTCATTTAAGTAGGTTTTTCTCTCCAGATTTTTCTTAGCTGACCATTTTCTTTGAGTTTTTTGTGGTATTATATGAGACTTGCAGAAGAGTCACTGGCAGTACAGGACAAAAAGTTGTTCTATGTGGTATGTAGACTCATTCAGAGATTTAGTGAGATTAAAACAACTTCCTATTCTGGACCATTGGTGCTTTTGTTTAAAAATAGCTGACAGGAGTAAGGCAGTTGGTTGGTTTAAAGACTGAAATGAGATTGCTGTAGTTGCCTGTGTGATTTCTGTTTGGTGAAGGTAGTCAAGAGCTATCTTTAAAATACTGGTTACATTATGGCTGGCCTATTGCCAACAGCTACAGAGCTTTGTGCAGCTATTGTATTCAACAGAAAAATTACTGCCTAATTACCACGTCAGCTCTGTAAATTTTTAGTTGATTAAAATGATGATAAAAAGCATGAAATGTGTTTTGTTTTCTTGTGGCTTTGCGGGAAGGAATATTTAAGCAAATAGCTGTGATGGGAGGTCATTCTATGGGTAGAATAAAGTGGGAACATTTTAAATAGCATTCATTTCAACTGAAGTTTAATTGTCAGTGGCTAATCTATGGTTCACCTTAGACCATTGTCAACTTCTTGTATTATTCATGTGCTTTTATTTTCTTTAATGGAGGGTCTCCTGAGGTGTTAGACAAACATCTTTCCTGTTCCTTTTTTATTCCTTTTGAGCTAAAACTCATTGCAGTGTGAATTCTGAAGAATTTCTCAAGACCTTTAGTTTTATTACTTGAATCCTGGTTTAAATCCCATTTGTTTCTGGTGATCTTAATAATTGAAACAAGTAGGAAGACAAATCTTTGAGATAGTTGTCAACATAGTCAGATAGTTGACTTGTCATTCTCTTCCATGTCATTACTAATCAGTCACTGAACCTGCATTCCACAGCCACAAGTAACAAAACAAGAGAGGATATATTTGGCCTCTGAGGCTATAGAATCACTACCTCTAACAAGTTTATTAACATGCTGATAAGCCTGCTTCTTATTTGTCTCCTCCAGTGAACATTTGTCCTGTGCCTTCACATTCTTTCTCCACGGGGAAAGCAATGTGTGCACAAGCGTGGAGATTGCTCAACACCAGCCCATCTACCTGATCAATGAAGAGCATATCCATATGGCCCAGTCCTCCCCCTCGCCCTTCCAAGGTAAGTGAGCTGCACTTGGAACTTCCTGTGCTGAACCTCACTCCTCTGTGGCAGGGACATTGCTCCTGGGGATGCTATCTTTGGAGGTGAACAAAGTAAGATTAAGTAACACTTCCAGAAGGTTAAATTTCTATTCAAGAAATTCTGGATGCCAGGGAAAATGTGAAGACTTAAGTGGTATGGGAATTTTCCATAGCTTTCTGTTAGTTAACATTGTTTTTAAAGCTACCTGTGTATAGTCAGTAGAAGTTTAAAAAGAATTGGTATTTGAGAAAGTGACTGCACTGATTTGATTGTCTTACATGATGCCTGCGTCAGTGGCCTCAAATCTGTGACTTCAATGCTCCATGAATACAAACACTAAGATTGTCTAATTTAGGAGTACTTTTCACTTACAGATTGTCAACTATTTTGTTTTTCAAGAAGAAAAAATAGATCAGTAACTATGAAAATCATGATGTTTTGTGGCTGTTTATTTGCCAGTGTAAGAATTACAAAATTAACAGCTTACTAAATTCATGATGCAATTGTGCTGCAATGCTCTGTGTCAAAAAAATATGAAGAATATTTGAGTCATTGAGCTATAGTGTCTTTGCTACAGTCTGAAATTACAATTTCAAAGCAGTTAAAGCAGATCTTTATAAAAAGAAACACCCAGGGACGATAAAATGAGCATTTATAGGGACGTTAATTCATAGCGACTTTATTGAAAAGCATTTTGTTGCAAAATGTAAAGTTTTGACAGAAGCTCAGACACTTTTAATCATAGAAGGTTTTATTGAAGTGAACTAAATGCATTGCTCTCAAGTCAAATTTGACTAAAAGCAAAATTGGGTCTGAATGGAGATACCTGTTGTTGAGAAACTGGTTCTCCTGGTTTGTCATGGCTGTAGTCTTCTCTGTATGTTGTTACCTCTATCCTTTTACATGCTGACAAGTAATGTATGTTCCTGGTGAAAACCCTGTTGTTGAGTGTCTGTCCTCTATTATCTCCATGTGTGATCAGTCCTTTGCCATAGCAAGGGGCTGCTTCAGCACTCTTAGATAAGTTAATTGTGGAAATTGTTAAACTAAACTGCAAAAAGGTGCACTTTTAGCTTGTAAGGATGGCTGTACAGGAAGCTACTGCAGTGTAAGACATCTTGAAATTCACCCCCTCACCTGACTTTGCAGTAGCTTTCCCCTGAAGACAGGTCCTTAAATCAGGATGCAAAAGGATCAGTGACTCCAGCTGGGGAAGCAGAGCCTGCCTGCTGCTTGATAGAAATACTCAAACTGCAGGGACTGTTGTTTCTTCCTCTGCAGTTTTGGTGAGTCCTTATGGTTTAAATGGTACACTCACGGGCCAGTCATACAAGATGTCAGACCCAGCAACTCGTAAATTGATGGAGGAGTGGCAGTATTTTTACCCTATGGTGCTGAAGAAAAAAGAAGGGATGAAAGAGGAAGAAGAGTTGGGATATGACAACGATTTCCCTGTAGCAGTTGAAGTCATTGTTGGTAAGTTTCAGTATTCTGCCTGAAGGATTATTTTCCTCCACATGATTTAAAAAAGAAAATCTAATTAATCAGAAACAGCCTTTATAATTTTCCTATCTCCTCTTGTAGCTCTCTTGACACTGTAACATCTGACTAGTTATCTTGCCTCAAGCTTCTGTACTCCCTGTATCCCACATGCTATTATTCAGAATATCAAGCTCCTTGTTTCAGCTCTGTACTGGTGATAGAGGGTTAGGTGTGTATTAGTATGTGAAATTCCTTAGTTCTTTGTATTTTGGATAGTAAGTTTTGTCTAACTGACAACTGAAAATGAGTTGGAAGTAGCTAGGACTGATGAATATTATCAGGTATATTTAAGACTCCTGTTTTTCCATTTCTTTGTAGGTGGTGTAAGGATGGTATATCCTTCAGCCTTTGTTCTCATCTCCCAGAGTGACATCCCTGTGTCACAGAACGCTGCCAATACTGGAGGCCATATAAATATGGGACAGCAGGGGCTTGGAAGCATGAAAGATCCTGCTAGTACCTGTGGGATGCCACTCACTCCACCCACTTCTCCAGAGCAGGCTGTTATGGGTAAGGAATAAACTCAGGAGACTTGGGTCTGTTTTGCATAGCTCATGATAAGAGTGGGTAAGGAAGAGAACAGTAGCAGATTAAAGACAGGCAATAGACTGAAAATTAGAAGACTTTTTCTGTACATCTGTGGCAAGTTAAAACCAGAGCTTTAAACCCCTCTGAAGGGGACACATCTTTAAATAAAACTTTGTGAATTTGGTTAAGCTCCATTTTCTGTAGCTGCATTATCTTAGTGCACCAGTGTGAGTACCTGAGAGACTAGGTTCTGACAGTGCTTTAGACAGATTTTGCCAGTGTTTATGAAGTGTTGGTTTTCATGGGATGGAATAGGAGGAAGATACTAATTCATTGTGGTACAAGAGTGCAGTGAACATACAGGAGTATGTAGCTCTTAAGAGCTAGAAGTACAGCACTTCACTAAGCATTTGTGTTAGTATAATAAAAAAATTACAAATACTACTACAAATTCTACCTGACACAGTTGGGTTTTAATCAAGTGCTATTCACAACAAATGCATGAGTCTCTAGACTTGATAATAAGGAGCTGGGCTTCCCAGCTGAGGTCTGCCATAGGCTTGCATCTTACCCAGATGGCAAAAGGAGTGCTGCTTTATATTTGCAAGTGAGTCATGTATTTTGTCTGGGTAGAATATCCCCCTTTCAAACATGTGGATCCATAGTAGTTCTAATCTCAGAAGCCATCCTGATGCTTAGTGTTTTGGGTAGTGAATCCTTAACATCTTGCTTCACTGAAATTAATATACATATTCTGTTGCTTCTGAGAAATGAAAACAAGTATCTGTAACTTGTCCTCGTTGGAAATACAGACAAGACCTTAAGATAAATTGCTGTCAGTGTGGTTATGCTGTAAGAAATCTGAGACTGCAATTTCAAGTGAGAACTAAAGGATAGAACAGTCAAATGTCTGTTTGAGTGACAGACAAAAAATCTGATACAGAAGAAAATAAGTGATTTTTATTTATCTTCCCCCCCTCCAAAAATGTTTTGAAGACATCTTTACAAGTTGTTGTGTTTTTTTTTCCTGTGTAGATTGTCTTCTGAATTTGCTCTTTAAAGAGAACAGAATCACAACATAGTTCAGGTTGGAAGAACCTCTGGAGATTGTCTTATCCAACTTCAAAGCAGAGTCAGGTAGAGCAGGTTGCCCAGGACATTGCCTAGTCAGGTTGTGAGTATGTCTGAGGACAGTGACTCCACAGCTTCTGTGGGTGACCCGTTGCAAGGCTGATCATCTTCACAGTCAAAAGTTCTTTCTCATGTTTCAGTGGCACTGTCTCTATTTTACTTTATGCCCATCACTTCTTCCCTTTCAGAGGATACCACTGGTTACATCCTCTCCCTATCAAGTATTTGTATATGTTGATAACATTCACTGGCATGTTTTGTGCTTTGCAAATTACTTTTATTTCAAATTGAGTTCTCAGCTCACAGAAGGTTCTCTGACTTGAGTCACGTTAGACAATCATTAGAGACTGTTCACCACTAAGCAACCTCTGCTTGAACTTGTCCTTTTTCTTTTGAACTTGGAGAAGAAGTAGAACAACAGTAGAAGTGTTGTTGACATGAAGCTCCTACAAGTTTCTGGGAGATTATGCAGCCAGATTGGAGTAAAGAATCCTTTTTATACCCTCACAGAGGTCTAAGGAGCTGCCGAGCTAGCTTAGCCTTTGTTAGGTAGCTCTGTCACATCAAGAGAATCAATCTTGATGCAGAGTCAAAGAAAAACTAATCATCACTGGCTTCATTGCCATGGAAGTACTTGTTTGAGTTCACTTGTCCACGAACACTGTGTATGACGACAATCAAAGTATGCTAATAATACAGAATGTGAGATTTAAATCCACTTTTGAACATTGTTTTTCAAAGCAAAAAAAAAAAATGCATTAGTAACTAAGATGGTTGACTCACAAGTAACAATCTCTATGGAAGTACTGATGCATGGCATGCAGTTCAGAATCGGTACATGGGATACAAGAAGTGGATTAGGCTGATTAGTGATTCATGCCTTCAGTTCTGCCCATACTGGTGAAACTGTGGTTGTGGTGCCACGTCCAGTTTGGAACACTAAAAGTTGTGAACAAATTGGATGGAGTCCAGAAAAGTGCAGCAAAGATGACTGTAGATTTTTCAAACAGGACCTACAGGAAAAGATGGAAAGAATTGAGGTTGTTTAGTCTAGAAAAGAGAAATTGTAAGGAGAGGTGATGTAACAGTATTCAGAGACATAAAAGAAGAAGAATGATGTTTTCTCTGTAACCAATATGTAATGAACCTAAACTGGAGCAAAGCAAAACTAGGTTAAACATGAGGAAAAACTTTCTCTAAGGAAGGATAATCAAGTGTTAGAATAAATGGGCTGAGGGGAGCTACAGCATTTCTGTTAGTGGAGAGGTGGGTGGGTTGTTGAGGTTTTTGTTTTGTTTTTGTTTTGGGGTCGGGAGGGGGCTTGATGATTTATTGATAAAGAGAGATTAGTCAAATATGTTGATCCAGCTTTCAACAGGGGCTGGACTAGATGATCTCTTAAGGTCTCTTTCAGTCATGTTTTCTGTGATTGCTTCTAAACTACGTAATGACACAAATTGCCACTGAAAGTAGGGAATGGCATTTTTCATGTGTAATAACAAGAGAGCACCATAGAATGGGGAAGTGACCTCTGGCAGGTGGCTGGTTGCATCTTCCAGTAGTTATGCCGTTATATGACATAGTTATCTGTGTGTATTCCAGTATTTCGTCAGTGATTTCCATGGACGAAAATTGGTGTCAGTGTATGAGAAGAAAAAGTCTTTGCATTCTGCAACGTTGTGTTCATGCTATGCCACGTATTGCTGTATTGTGTGGTACAAAAACATTATAGAATTTTGGAAACCAGTAGCTAATGCACTCAAATGTAACTTGAAAGCTCTGGCAGCTCCTTGGTTATCTTCTCATACCTCCCCTCCTTCCCTTTCCTTCCTTTTTTAAATTCCCTGACAGTTGTAACTGTCCTGCTATTAACGCATATGAAATTTATGTGTGCACATGATGTTTGTTTATATATCCACATTCTTTCCTCTTCCCTGCCCCCCAAAGGAGGACAGATTCGCTAACTCTGAAGTTTAGATCTGTTTATCTTTGTATGCTGTCAAGCTCACGATGTTGTAGAACATTTGAAAGCCAGTGAAATAAATTGTTAAAGCCACAACCTCAGTATATCTGGGGATTTATGGTTTTTATTGCCTCTTTTAAAGTTAGAGTTCTTGGCAAAAAGAGAATCAGGGAAGTTTTACCTGGAGGAAAAAAAATAAATATTATAAGCATAAAGAATCAGATACTCAGCTTGCATACAAGTTCAGAAGTTGTATTTTGAAAGTCACCTGATAGAAAACAGCAGAATTACCTTGATCAGTGATGTGTAGCAGTGAAACCTTTCAGTGTTTCATTCTTAAGGCTTCTTAAATTGCTGCAGGCAGAAGGACAAAGTGTTCTGTACGCTGATTTGACCTTGTTAAAATGCAGCATATCCTCACTTCCCACCCAGAGCACAGAGCAGTGTTTCTCAGTCGCCAGGCCAAGTGAGCCTAAAGCTCCCTCTGCTGTTGTAGCTGGTGTTTGGAAGGATTACTATGGTGATCTCAGTTAATCAAAAACAAAAACGTATTTCATAGTAGAAAAGGAAACATCTGCTCTACAATAGCTGGTGATGTTTCTGTATCACAGACAGAAGGAAAGTGCAGAATGTAAATCAGTTTTCAGATTATGAGCATGTTGAAGTAATACCTTTGTTATCTCTTCGATAATATGGTATTACTGAGAATCTCACATATTATGTTAATACTGATCAACTGTTGGAACAATTTCTCTAGCAGTATTAAGATGTTACCAAAGCAAGTGTTGATTCTGGTATTTTAATTCAAGCATATTAGAAAGAAACAGCATCACACTAATCCATTTCCTCATTGAAGATGAAGAACTGATTCTTGCTTTGATGCAGTATGTGTAAATTATTTGCTTTCTTAATAGATGCTTTTGGAACCGTCCATGTTACAATAAACTTAGTCTTGAAAGCAACTCACCAAAGACTGTATTAACTGAAGTTTGTCATCCAGGAAGAGCTTTGCACTGTTTCTGAGTGATGTGTGGGCTGTATCTAAACTGAACTAAATTTAAGCAGCAGAGTCACATGAGGTGCAGCACTCGCATGACTGCATTGCACATCTACCTGGTGTAACCCAGTGTCATCTCTCTTACCCTGGAGGCCTAAGTTGCTTTGAAATATAGTTTAGTCTTTTGTAATGGTGCTTTAAGCATTTTCTAGGGAATGTGAACACCTGTGTAGTCAGCAGCCTCATAAGAGGGAAAGTCTTCTCAGGAAAGCGTATCAAATGTGAGTATTAAGAACAGCCATACCATTAATGCTCAATTTATATTGCAGGAGAAAGTGGTTGCTCTCAGAGCAGTGTCAGCCATTCAGCTGTACAGGAGGGGACAGTCAGTGTGCACAGTCCAAAGAAATCAGGCAAGATTACTCCAAAATTTCACAATCATATGGTTCACCGTGTCTGGAAGGAATGTATCCTCAACAGGTCACAGTCCAAGTAAGGCAGTCATCCTCATGATTTTATTTTTCCATGTCAAATAATATATAGATACAATTGTAATAGTTTTGCCTTAGATAATGTTACTTGTCACAGAATTATTTTTTCCACTAATCAAAGCTAATAATGCAGAACAGTATTATCAAAGAAAATTGACTACTGTGTTCAGCTGAAAACCCTTCATAATTAGCCTTGTATATGCAGTTGTGTATCTTAATTATGACAGTCTTTGAGGTTACAAATCTACAATATGTGCATTCAACTAGGTGCCTTCAGATTTATTGATTGCAGTTGCCAGCTCCAGTTGTAGTTATTAGACTGAAAGTTGGGTGACAGAAGAACAAACAATATATAATTGATGTTTACAACTCCAAGGCTAATATTTGTAAAGCATTACATGTGTTGGACTAAATGCCACTTGACAAAGATATGGTAAATTAATGTTAGTATCATGGGTCCTTATTACTGGAGATTTAAAGATATATATTTTGGCACGGTGTGCCCTGAGATCTTAATTCTTCACTATTTTCATGCAGCTTCTTCGTTAGATATGTCAGAAGAATGTCTGGATTCAGTTTAAATTGCTTGCCTCTTGCTCAAACTCCAGACAGAGCTATCTGACACAGAGGCTGGTACCATCCTCCCACATAAATAAAAGGAAGCTTTTAGGAGTAGTGGAAGGAGCTGCTGTTAAATTCAAAATTTCTGTTTCAAAGAAGGTTGTAATTTACTTGAGGGGAACTTATGTGAATTTATGCATATGCATTTTTTAAATTTTGTTTTTCAAAAGATGTTAACTGCTAAAATAATTTTATCTTCTTCAGGAGGAATCAAATTACAACTGCAAATCTGGAAGAGGAAGTTCCTAACAATACTGTTTCTTGGGATTTTGTGGATCCAGTCCAAAGAGTCAGTTGTTCTTGTTCCAGGTGAGCTTTGAAGACAGTAAAGAATTTATTATATTGGAAGAGCCCTGTTTAATTCAGACAGAGGTAAACTTAGAAAAGGGAGCTATGCTTTAGCTGAGAGAAGAGGAAATTCTACTATCAAAGCTGTGATCATCACTCATATTGAGGTGATTAATATGCATCTCATATCATTGTCACTTGCAGTAGTCAACTGGAGTAGAAAAATGATCCTAGACTAGAGAATGAGGGCTAGAACATTTCTCATTTGCAATTAACTCACCTTTCAGGCTTTTCAGAAATGTGAGCTTTACAGTTTGGAGTAGTGAGACTCACAGTGAGGAGGGCAGAAGCTGCCCAAGTTACAGAGCATCCTGATGAAGGGATAATGCTGCTCTCCCTGTTCAAAGGAAGAGGAAAAATATCCCTAAGAATCACTTTACTCCATACACTTCTTGTCAGTCTGCCATCACTCATCAGACACCAAAAACCACTCCAGAGAATATAAAACCTTTGGAGCATGGTCATCTGCTGTCAACTGATCTAAAAGGAGTCACAGCTCACTTACACAAATGCTTGAAGAGTTTATTAAATTATCTGTCATCTTTGATGAATCCTTGAATTTCCAACACTACCCAGGAAAGGCAAACCAGCACCACCATTTCTGCTTAACATTCTTAAAATTATCAGAGAGATGTTACAGGGCTATAAAAAAGCAGCTTCCAGTGAAATGACTTTTACTGATTTTTTTGATTTCTGTGATCGCACTGACTTGTAAGATGGGCAAAGATGTGTTTGTGACCTGAAGAAGTTATTCCTAAACTATGCTCAGATGTAGATGTCATTCATTTGATCAACCACACTGTCCTAATCCCTTTGGTATTTTTTTTTCCTGCCTGTCCCCCTCTCCTCTCCTCCCCCAACTGCAAACAAGGGTCTTTTCCAAAATAATAGCCAGCACAACAGCCAGTGATGGGACCAAACTGATTCTCTGCTTTCTGTCTGAGGCATAACTGGTTTTTAATTTTTATTTTCAGTGAGGCAAGCTCAAGAAAATACTGCTGTTAATAACAGTAAAATTAAAATATTGTTTGACCAAATCCTTACATATCTTACCTGCCACAGCAGTCTCTGCAGAGCTTTCTGTACAGAGAAATTTAGGAATGGAGCATTCTCATAATCTCTGCAGGGTTGGTGATTAGAAATGCCCATTGTTGAAATTGAATGGAGCAAGATTGTGTCCTTGTATCTCTTGTGTTTGACTTCTCATGAAGCCAGTTCTTTGTGTGTATAGAAGAGATAAAGGGGTGCAGAGGAGCTGTGCATCATACAGAGGACAGAGTGTTCCACATGGAGACTCTGCTGTATCTTAAGGGAGAGTGCTCATCTTCTACAGCCTTGCTCTTTACCCATGATCATTTATTGCTTGTATGCATATACCCAAGAATGTGGAACAGATACATGTTTTGTGAGGTTGCCAGGTGTTTCTTATGGAAAACTGAGGTCCAGCCTTGCCTGGAAAGTATAGGGAATCAACAGTGGACAATGGAAACCTGAATCTGTGGAAAGGTTCAGCTGCATTTGCATTTTCAGTGTCTCTTAACACCTCCAGTGATAACTACATCATGGTGAAGTTAGTAAACACTGCAACTGGGAAATGAAAACATTATCCTTAAAATGAAGGCAGTACCTGATTTCAATCAGCAATGAAAAATGTCTGTATAGGCACAGAAGCTGTCATTTAGATATTGTTTTAATCATTACTGTGCCCATTCTATATATTATATAAATGAGACTATAAATGTCAAGATAGGATCTTAAATATGGAGTCTTAAAGAATTGTCTGGTCCTCAGAATCAAATCAAATCTTCTATGGATCCAAGTTAGTGTGTTGAAGAGCAGAATGTCTGAAATAATTTTCTGTGGTCAGTTAAGACAGTGAATGATGGAGAATTAGGTCAATGAAATGTTACAAGAACACGCTTAAGGCAAGTCTTCAGTTACTGGGGCATTAGCTCCACGTTCTGGGTGATTGCAGCTAAAGACCATCTGCTGCAGCAGAGAATTTGCAACATGTCCTGATAACAGCAAAGCCCACAAAGAAAGCCAGGACAATACCACACAACATGGATGGTTAAAGGAAAAAGATGTAGCAAGTACCAGAAGGTGTGTTTGTACCATTTGACAGCTGCTGTGTACTGCAAAGCTGGAGTGTTTGCACAGCTAAGTCATAAAAGCAGAATTGGTTTTCTTCTTTCTACTAGTCCACTTGCTATAATGTAGTTTGTGAGTAAAAAGCATAATATTTGCTTTTAAGTGTTTTGGTGTTGTCCTCAATGCTCTTATTTATAAACAAAAATAGGAATGGAATGATTTATTTTGAACAGGCATTTCACTTTGAACAGGTCTAAATATTAAGCACAATATACCTTTTAATTGATGCTTAGCTAAAAAACAAACAGGTAAACAAAAAACCCTAAACAACCAACAAAGGCCAATAAAAATGTGGGCAGAATTTGATGTCCCTGTTGTAACATCCTTGGGGACTGTCAGGTATGTGATGAAAAACCTGTTTAGCAGAACCAGAAATACTGACACTCACTTCTGTGCTTCCCAGGCTCAAAGGGACTAGATGCAAACTGAAAAAAAAAATAAATATATTAAAATATGAAACCAATTAGAAGTTTGTATGTTACTACATTTTTTGTTTTAAGTATTTTCAAATTCATGCTTTTTTTGTCAGTTGGTGGTTTATTTTGGTTTGGTCGTGTTCTTAACTGGGATCACAGAACTGTCAGGCTTGGCAGGGACCTCTAGAGATCACCTGCTCCAACTCCCCCTAGAGCAGGATTGCCCAGAGCACATCCCGCAGCACTGCATCCAGGAGGGCTTGGAATGTCTCCAGAGAAGGGGACTCCACAAGCCCCCTGGACAGCCTGTCCCAGGGCTCTGTCACCCTCACAGGAAAGAAGTTTCTCCTCCTATTTCAGTGGCACTTCCCATCTTCCAGCTTGTGCCTGTAGCCCCTTGTCCTGTCCCTGGGAACCACTGAAGAGAGTCTGGCTCCATCCTCCGTGCACCCACCCTTTGGATACTTACAGAAACATCCTGCCATATATTGCCTCTGTGAACAGAACTGAATTCCAGTCTGCATCCCTTGCAGCAGATGCTCAGGAGTGTGCAGGAGCACTGGTGTGGTTCCTCAGCAGTCATTTTATTTCAGGACTCTGTTTTCAGGGTAATGAAAACAACATGAGCTTGCATTTTTTCTGCTCTTCTACCTTCCACTTGAGCAGTACTAATCTTCTATAAACATTAAGTCTTTTCTTTGAATGCTGTTTTCTGGAGACTCATTTTCCATGTTACACGTCAGAGGAACTGCAGCCGAGGTGGCTGGAATGACCTGGTGCAGGTCCTGTGACCGCTGCAGAATCTGTTAACAGCTCAGGAACAGACAGAATGTTTCTCGATGCTGTTCTTTGGGTTTTGTGTTGTCTTTTTTTTCCCTCCCATTAGATCAGATAAGTGTATAGACCCTGCAGTGACTTGTTTCTGCCTCTGCTTTCAGGCACAAGGTTTTCAAGCAGCGCTGTGCTGCTGGCTCCAGCCGCCCCCCATCCATCAGCCAGCCGGGGTTCAGCGTGGGGACATCGTCCTCCTCGTCCCTGCCACCTCCTGCCTCTTCAAAGCACAAAACCACAGAGAGACAGGAAAAAGGAGAGAAACTGCAAAAAAGGCCTATGATGCCATTTCACCATCGGCCCTCTGTGACTGAAGAGCTATGCATGGAGCAGGACACATCAGGGCAGAAACTGGGATTAGCAGGAATTTTTTAATGGAACCCTCCTTAGAAGTCCCTAATTCCAGAAAATACGAGAAGCCTCTATCTATACCTGCTAGAAATCCAAGCAAGCAAATGAATATGAATCCTATGGATTCACCCCGTTCCCCCACGTCCCCTCTGCCTCCCACACTTAGTCCCCAGCCAAGAGGTCAGGAAGCAGAGAACCTGGACCCACCATCCGTACCTGTAAACCCAGCACTCTATGGCAGTGGGCTGGAGCTTCAGCCCTTGCCCAGCTTAGATGATAGGGCAGTCCTTGTTGGACAGAGGTTACCTCTGATGGCAGAGGTCAGTGAGACAGCGTTGTACTGTGGGATCATGCAGAACAATGAGTCTTTAGATGTGTGGAGGAGCTATAGTGTCCCATCAAGTGATGATCCAGAGTTCAGGCCGCCAGACCTTCCCTGTGAGAGATACGATGCCAAGCTGGAGATGAACTCAGACAGCACTGCACTGAAAAGGTGAGAGTGCACATCCATTCAGGTGGGGGCTTGATTTAATTATAAGCATGACCAAATTGTTTTCAGTTGAAACTGAAACAAGTCAAAGGCTTCACTGTGACATCAGAGTTGATGTGTGCTGCAGAGAATAGAAATGTGCTATTTTAGTATACCTACTTTTTTTCTTATCTGGCTTTCTGTTGGGCATTTTAAGAACTGATAAATCTTTTTGCAACCCATATCACAATAATTTGAGTAAATGTGAGAGTTTTATTAATATTATCCCTTTTAATAGTTTAAACCCCAAATTGTTTAGTTATGCAAACTTCCAACTACACAAATGCTTGGTTTTTAGTGCAGCAGTGTTTATGGCACTGTACAGTGTGGTTTGTCCAATTGTGTGGGCTTAAAATTGCAGTGTACCCTGCTTCCTGTGAGTAGTAGCTGATACTGTATTATGGAATAATACTGCTTCTTTGTTAACTCACTGTCAGATCTTTGAAACTGATGAAGCTTTACTGTTTGCTGCAGCCTCTGGAGGTTTGAAACTGAAAATCCTGATAGACTGAGGCCCCTCTGGTCTGTACAAAGAAAAGAGCAAATGCTTATCTCCTGTTAATGTTCCTTTAGAAAAAATACAGTTAACATATAGTGTCTTCTTCAGAGAAGAACATGAGCTACCTGAACTTGAAGGAATTTTTAGCTCTTATTTTTTTAAACATGGATTTTTCTTATATCTGAAGATATTTATTTGTTCATTCATTTATTCATAATGAATTTGAATTAATTTTCTATTGGCCTAAAAATTATTTTACATTGTGACAAATGAATTGAAAAGATGTACCAAAGAAAGGATTTAATGAAAATGTATGAACTAAAATTAATTGAGGAAGAATTTTTGAGTTCTGACAACACTGATTTAGTTAATTATGATGATGTTTGCTAGGCTGAAAAGGTTGGGTACTTCAGAGTGTTTTGATATATATAGTGACAAGATTAATTCTTTGTTCACTGTTGCAAAGAAGTTCTTCATACATAAGTTGTTTAATACAAAAGGTAGGCAAATGCAGCCTTTATTTGAGGACAAAAACTAATTTCTGCTAGATAAAGGAGGATGGAGTGAGACATGGGTTGTATTTGTGTGTGACAGCTGTTACTTTTCTTTGCTTTAAAAGGTGCGTTTGTTACATTTCATGATGGCTTTGTTTGCTTTCTTATCTTTACTTTCAGGCTCTTGGCACAACCTAATAAACGGTTTAAAATTTTGGAAGAGCAGAAACCAGTGCAGACACTGAACTATCTTGACCCCTTGCCCCTATTACAACAGCCTGGAGAAGGCTTGGGAGACACTAGTGATCCTTACACTTTTGAGGATGGTGATATAAAGTACAGCTTCACTGGCAGTAAGAAGTGCAGACTTGGGGCTGAGAAGGATCCTTTGAAAAAGAACAAGGTAACATGTCTTTAACATTCTCATTGGACTTTCAGAACTGTAGCTCAGTGTTAGCTCTGCAGCTCTTAGAAGACACAAACCTGTTCCACAGACCGTAATCAGAGAGATTCTGTATTTCTTCCCTGCCCCAAATCACAGAAAACCCCTTCATTTCACTGTGGTGCTTTTGAACAATCATCTGCTGGCATCCCTCTGAACCTGTTGGTGTATGAAAACACTGCTGCTGCAAGGAATACTTCCTGTTTATCTATAGTCAGCTTAACCAGCAGCAGGTTCCAGATTTAAGCTAAGAAATAAAATATTTTGAGCCTTATATTCACTTGTAGAGATGAAAACATTTGCTGGGCTTCCCCCCCCAAACCCCTTGCTTAAGCTTGACTTGTTACCTCACTGCAAAGCTCAGATCTCTCAGCCCAAGTTTATTTTTCTTCCCTTGGGCAAAATTAGTGTAGCTGAGAGGATTTGTGGCAAGGTTGCTCTATTGGTATGAACATTTCCTCTGGGATGTTCTGTATGTGAAGGAACAGTTTGTTCACCATTCCTTGGTCATCACCTGCCCTGTGTGCATGATACTTCTTATGTATCTTACCCAGTAGGGAGCTGTTTCAGTGTCTGGCTCCTCATTTGCTCTTGTGGGGGTGGCCAGCAGGCTTAAGATTCTAGATGTGTTTACTGGAGAATTTGAGGTGGCAAATTATCTGCCCTGGCTGTTAACTGATGTGTGTGGAATCCTTTTTTGCTTCTCAAACCATTGAATCCAGAGCCCTGAGTTTGGCTTGACAGAGGAAAACAGTTGTTCTTACATAGTGTAAATTCATATCCATTAATAACTCTTGAATTGTTTATACAGTCAGAAGATGGAATTGGTACCAAGGAAATCTCCACAACAGGTCATTCTACACCAGTTCCTGATGGAAAAGATGCCATGTCTATTTTCAGTTCTGCTCCTAAGACTGGTGAGTAGAGGCAAAAATACTCAAAGCTGTGCAATAAAAGCTGAAAGGAAGAATCACAGACTGAACAATTTGCTTCAATATGAGAACAGTAGAGATCCTGGGATGGACAAAACTTGATTCTTCTTGTCCTTCTTATATTACAACATGTCCTTTGCTCACTTAAAACTTGGCTGCAACTTGGCTTTTTCTAGGCCACCTCTTAGAAGAGGGGTCTTGGTGATTCTTTGCTTGTCCCCTGCTTACAGTGAGAAATTGAAAAAAAAGGCAGTTTTGTGTTGAATTTTGTGTTTCCTTTTTGGCAGATACGCGGCAAGACAACGCTGCAGGCCGGGCAGGCTCCGGGAGCCTCACCCAGGTGACAGATCTGGCTCCATCACTCCATGATCTAGATAATATCTTCGATAATTCAGATGAAGATGAGCTTGGTGTAAGTCTTTGTAGGACTGGGTTTGGTAGACTTGAACTTTGGCCAAAATCCCAAAGGAGGGTGGTGGAATCCTACAAGGGAGAGATTATTCCAAATAGAAGGCAGAGGAGATAGCGAGGTAGGAAGGCTTGGATTTGAACTCAGAAAAATTGCTAGAAAAGAGAAATTCTTTCAGGAACCAAAGAGAGAAGTCGTCACTGTGTATAATTCAGGTCTATAAGGAAGTCACTAATGTAACATCAGAGTGTGTGTTGTCTGGCAGTTTTTCAGCCAGGAGGGAAGCCTGTATCCAGCCAACATGCTGACACAATCATTGCATAGGCAGGCTCTAGGAATACTTCCACAGGTAAATCAAGTTGTTGCTTTTTAAGTGCAGTACATCCAGTTTCATGTCCTTAGCTTTTTGCCTGTATTTTGTGGCTTTTGGAGAGTTATGGAAACGATCCTAGTTTCATTCACTGGTGATTTAGTTTTTTACCTTGGCTGAGAAGCTGCCCAAAGAAGTATCAGTTCAACCTTCCTGAATAATAATTCCTTCAGTAATTCACTGAAGCAGGTTTCTTTCTATTCCTACAAGCAGTTTTATGTCAGGGCAAAGAGGAATAATTGCTGAATATTAGAAAACAAAAAGGAAAAGCCGAGTTACATCAGTGTCCAGGAAAAACAAGCAAGACACATGGAAAGGCAAAGATTTAATTAATGACTGTATTTAAGTTTAATATAGCCATAATGATAGAGAAGGTGATTTTTAAACTTTCTGATAGTAGATAAGAGAGTTGAAAAATCTAATGTCTGGTTCTTGGCAGTACTTTTCAAGTACACTGATATTTTTACTGCTTCTCCCTGTCCTGTGAGTCTACACAGACTGCACTTAAGATGTCACAGTTAATAGGCAAATCAACTAGAGAAGTGTGAAAATAAAAAAAGACCTTTTACTGTGGAGTTGGCCTGGACAGACCTGATGTTCCTCCTGTCTTAATACTTGCATGTGTCAAGCTATCCCGTGGCAGTCAGCTCATGGCATTCCTTTTCTCTCTGTGGTTTTCTCTTTATTATCTTAGAGTAGCCCAAATGTGGAAGCAAATAGCAAACATTAATTCCAAGCTCAGTGTTTGTGAGAACGTTTTCAATATAATTTGCATGTATGTAGATAGATATGTATATATATATATGTATCTGTACATTGGGGGGTGTATAGACAGGGAGCACTTCAGAGAGTTTTAGTGTTGGAAGAGAGGAAAAAGAAATCCAGACTCCCTGGGGGGATAATGAGAGAGCAGAAAAGTACACTTTTTTTTTTTTTCTTCCTTGTGAAAGCTCATTCAGAGAGTTTTCAAAATTTTATTAGCTTATGAATTTTAATGTTCTGTGTATTTTTTCATCTGGTATGTGATTACTTTGCTTTTAGGCTGTGTCACCAGCTCTTCGGTCATCAAAGATGCCCACGGTGGGATCTGAGGAGCGCCCCGTGGGGAAGGATGGTAGAACAGCAGTACCTTACCCACCAAGTAAGTAGCAGCAACTGGTGACTGCTTTGTTGACAGTCAAAAACCTCCTTATGGCTACCATGCTGCCTTCTAGCCAGGAGCCTTATAATGTCACTTTTTCAGGACTACAAGGTAGTGTGCTTGTTTGGTTCCATAATTACCACTATTAAAAGAGGATAAGCAGATTTTAATAAAAACAGTGGGTGATAATACAGACATATTTTTTTTTTAATCTGCCTGCTGAGATTTGAATTGTTCTTCTTTTGACATGATTGTCTTAGATTGGAAGTATGAGAGGGATCTGTTACAAATCTTCATTTAGAAGAAGGAAACAGCCTCAAGTTGTAATGGGAGGTTTAGATTAGATGTTAGGAACAATTTCTTCCTTGAAAGGGTTGTCAGGCCCTGGCCCAGGCTGCCCAGGGCAGTGGGGGGTGCCCATCCCTGGAGGGGTTTCAAAGCCATGTGGATGTGGTGCTGAGGGACATGGGTTAGTGGTGGCCCTGGCAGTCTTAGGTTTATGGTTGGACTTAATGATCTTAAAGGTCTTTTCCAACCTAAATGATTCTATGGTTCTATTTAAAATAGGAGGTATTTCTCTTGAGATGAAGGAGAAAAGTGTCTATGTGTGTTGAGAGAGAAGAAAGGTGAGAATTTTTGGTGTAATACTAACCAATTGTCTTATGAATTACAAATTACTTAGTGGTGAGCAGGAGGAATGTTTGATTTTTCTGGTCGCTATAGGCAGAAATCAAATCTTTCTGCAAGTCATTCTTTAATGCCTTCTCATTAACTTTAGCTGGTAATGAGAACAAATTGAGGAGAAGGAAAAAAACAGTTGGAAGGAGATGAGTCAGAGTTTTATGGAGCCATAAAAGCTGGGCTGATTTACTCAAATGTAGAAGCCTGAAGTATACAGAGATTGGATTTTGACAGGTTTAGTTGATCCATAGCTTTTTAAAATATGCAAAGCTTTTTCAAGCATGACACACATAAAAATGAATGATGATAGTTAGCCTGTTGCTGTAGGGTCGAGGGATCTTTTGTAATTAAACTTTTTTATGAATCTGCACTGCAGAAATTTTGTGTGTGTGAAAATGAAATACTGTGGGGCCGTACAAAGCAAGTTCAATAGTTACACCCCAGGTCTGGTTTGTAGCTGTTCCCTTCACACCTGCTGTCGAGGCATAACAATATCTGCAGGGGACCAAACTGACTTGTACATCACAATAAAGCCCTTCTGACCAGATTTCATTTTAACCTTCCTTCCTGTCCCCCTTTCTCCAGTTTCTAAAGCACACTTCTCTTTGCTGAAAAACAGAGGCAGTAGCTAACCCAGCTGGCAACCTGAAGATTATATTTCATGTTAGCATTGGGTGGAAAATAGGTTTTTTCCATTCTACTAAACCCTTTTTCAACATTAATTTATCCAATATCAGGACAAGACTAAGGTCTTCTAAATTTTTAATTCAAAGACTGAGCAAGGGAATTAAAAAAAAAAAAAAGATGAGTGGGAATAATAATAATAACTCATAGCCTATTATTTACTGTTCAATGTTGTGAAAGCCTTGGGTTCAGCTTTGACTATTACCAGCAGAAATCCGTTTTGAGAGGACTTCATCTGTTGGAATTGGAATGAAAAAGAGTGTAGCTGGGGAGAAAGAAGACTATTCTGATTTTGTTTGATTGCATTACATTTCATTCATTTCTGTTGGGGTGTCCTGTTTGTTTTGCTGAAAGAAGAAAACTATAGGAACACTGATTGCATTCTGTTCATTTACTGAGAAGTAATTTAGGGATTTTCCTGGCTTAATGTCTTATGATGCCCCGTTATGATTTTTTACTTTCTCTGATACTTGTCATTTTTGGATGCCTGGCAGTCTGATTCTGGAGCAGAATTGTCTGTGTTTGTGTTAGCAACACTGGCCTGTCTGCTCTTCAGGAGCTGTGTCACTATGGACCCAGTGAGACTACAGTGACTCTACATCCATGGAAAAGTGCGGCTCAGTGCACACTAACTCCAAAAGCCTCCTGTTAGGAGGGCTCAGCATCAGCTCTAAAAATGAGAAAAAACCCTACTCTGTATCCCCGTAGTAACAGTTGCTGAGGTGAACTTTGCATTAATGTGAATCTCTTCTACTCTGAAATATTTGTTGTTAAAACTGTACATAGAATTTGTGTACCTATCAGTTTATTGTTTCTGCTGAACAATAAGCTTTTAAAGTATCACTAAGACTTTTTGGAGGTTATCCCTAGCTTTCCATCTAGATTTATACTGGTGTCAGAACTGCAGTAATCTTTGCTAGGTTTTAATTGATCAAATAGATACTCAGTTTTACTGAATTTCCTTCAGAATTTGTATTTCAGTGATTAACAGTGCATTATTTCATCCTATTTAGCTGTGGCAGATCTCCAAAGGATGTTCCCAACACCACCCTCTTTAGAACAACACCCTGCCTTCTCCCCAGTAATGAGTTATAAAGATGGAATAAGTTCAGAGACTGTGACTGCCTTGGGAATGATGGAAAGTCCCATGGTCAACATGGTTCCAACACAGCTTGCTGAGTTTAAAATGGAGGTGGAAGATGGATTAGGTAGCCCTAAACCAGAAGAAATTAAGGTAACATGCCAAAGATATGGTCTTTTTATCATCTTGTCTGTGTATGTTCTAATTTTTATAAACAAGTCACACCTAGTGTGTGTAGCAGACCTACTGTAACAGATGTGAACAGGATCTGTGTAAAGTACATACCAGTCTTTAGTTGGGAAAAAAATTCCTTCTCTGGTAAAATCGCTTTTAAATTGTTTGCCTGACATTACCTAGAGGTGTTTTTCTTCTTGTAATTTTATATTTGTAATGTTTTTTAGTATTCTCAGGAAACAAACATTATTGTATGAGAAATGAGCCCTATGCCTAACT